AAAATAATCAATCTGTCACATGGGGGCTTTGCAGGGATTTAAGACAAACATTTATTAATTCCTATATCTGCTATATCGTTAAAATATACCACTTTAAACAAGTATTAACAAATATTAAAAGATTTGTATAATAAAATATATACAATCGTTATTTGTTTTGAGACATAAAGAGTTTTAGCGCAGCTGTATTATTATTGAATATTTTTAAATTTGTTATGATTTAGAAATATTCCTTGCATATATAAAGAAATCATCCGAGGAAGGTTTTCGTAACAAAACTTTTACTTTCAAACATTTTTTCTTAAAGAACTTATCCTTATCATAAAGCTTTGTGTGTGTGTAACACAAGGCAAAATAACAAAGGAAATTGTCGAAAGTAAATGTTAAAAATTAGTATCTTTATCAAATGTGGTTATAAAGACTCTACCTACTTTTTGATAATGGAACTGTACCCTGAACGCCATGTTTTTATGTAAACTCCATAATCCGTTGATTCGAAGCGGACGGGTGAACCTTTTACTTAATATTTGCTTTATGAAACAAAGCATTTACACTCGCTTTACAACCTAAATGTAAAGAATTTAAAGTACGAACAAGTAGTTTTGGTAAGAACAGCATGGTAATACAAAGCTGACATAATTACAAATTCGATCTTACGCACTATATAATGAGCAATTCATTTGCGTGTGATTATGAATGGACCATATTATGTTCCTAACGAAGATCTATCGCCACGTATAGTAATTTATAAAACTAAGTATTTATTGTATAAATTAGACAATTATGTGTTTAAATTAAATAAGTACCAAGGATATCCTCAGGAACCCAGAACTCTTGTGGTATTATCCTGGTGCTGGAAGAAACGTGTTCATAATGTGTCAATTACATAAGATTTTGTATTGTAAACGTTATTTCTTTCAGTCTGTCCTACTTATAAGAAAGTGTATCTAAGAAATGGGATTGTTTTATAATCAAATGGCTCTCTCCCCAACAACCAATTTGGAAGCAACAACGCTGGGAGGTATCGCGGGAAATTCGATTTGAAAATTCTAATTGCGAGAGTTCGTTCCACGACCACATAGTAATATTTCATTCGGCGTTTCGCCAATTTCGGATTTTAGTTTTTCACTCCATTTCACTATTAAATAACAAATCGTGTAAGCTTTCAACTTTGTTGCTCTATTTTCTGTCCATTTTTACCTGATTACTTTAACACGTTGGTTTTATACAATTAATAGATAAAATCCATGCAAGAATTAAATTGTGATTTAATTCATTTGAGATTAGATAAAATCCCAATTGTATTTAAAAATTAGTAGTTTAAAAAAAGAGAAGTTTTTAAGTATTACGTATTAAATAAAATTATTATTCAACAAAGCTCTTTACACAGAATGGAAAATCTCATCTAGGTGCATACCTACTAAAGTGGTTTATATACGAGTGTACCTAATTGCTATTTCGTGTTTCATTTGTTTCAAGAGCTCATACTCGGCATTACGCATACTGAATATCAGTATGATGTTAGCATATATCGAACCATATTGTTCGATTTATAGATAACTAATTGAGGTCTTGTAAACTAATGACTGAAAGTAAAGGCCTACCATAAAAGTACAGGCAATTTTTACCTCTAAAATAAAAATTATTTTTATTTAATTACCATTTTTGGTAAACTCTATACTTTTATAGTAACAAACAATATTTAGACATATACGTATATTTTAATTCTTTAACTGTAGAATTTTATAGAGACATCTGGTCGTCAGTATGCAACTGAAGTTTTTCATAACCAGGCGAGGTGAAGCTCTGGCATCGAAGCGAGCTGTAATTAAGTAAAGAGAATGAAATGGAAATAGCTTTTTTATTTTGGCTGACACCGTTTATTAAAACCATGGCACTAAAGGTTTAATTTCGTTTGCGATAAATTTCATTTACGCCTCATTTGTAGTCAACAAACAGATAAGAATATAAAATAAGGTAAATCTAAAGTCAAGCTACAATCACGAGTTAAATTAATATGAATGAACTCTAATACTAAGTTATCAATAAAGTTGGAGCTCGTGAAGTGCTTCTCTGTCTGAAACAGCTCTTAATCTATTTGATCAATATTGCCAGATAACGTTCAGTCATTATTGAGCTGTAATAAATCTTTGTCATTGTTGCTCACGTTTCATTTGGTACCTCTGAGTTAGCGCCTACTCATTTCGCGTAGTTTCACGTCAAAATTCTCCAATAGACTTCTTAAGCTTCCCAAACAATAAGGCATTATTTTGTATTCATTTTATTTAGCACTCGGCCCGTCTCGGCTTCGCACGGGTGGGCATTTATTTATTATTTTTTTTTTGTAAATATTGATGTGTTTTTTAATATTGTGGAACTTTTTTTTGTTTTAACATCAATAGTTTTCGCAGTGCATGCGATGAAAAATATTTAAAGGCATTTTTTATACCTTGGGTTTACATTATTGTAGTTTTAGTAGGATCCTTATTATTTTCTTACAATTAAGGCTATTGCCTTAATATTAGGTCCTTACATATGAAATTGGCGTTTTTCGTACTGGCTACTTTAATCACGATGTTCTCCTCTTTGGTAAGGAATTCCAAATTCAAATTTGTACAGCTATTTACTCATGTATTTGTGCTTCGATGACCGTCATTCATTTGCTTTTTTCTTCTGTTTTTTTCTGTTTGCGTCACTCATTTTACAAAATGGAAAACTTAAAGTATCGCATTATTTACGAGTACGAGTTCCACCGTGGCACTAGTGCTGCGGAAACGACTCGAAGAGTGAATGATGTGTATGGCGGTCATGTTGCAAAAGAAAACACAGTTCGTTTTTGGTTCCAACGTTTTCGTTATGGAAATTTCGACCTGCAGAACAAGCCCCGTGGACGGCCTGAGACCCAAGTTGATAATGAAGTATTGAAGGCTATTGTTGAAGCGGATCCATCGCAAACCACGTCCGAGTTAGCTGCAGGCTGCGGTGTTAGTGATAAAACTGTTTTAATTCACTTGAAGCAAATTGGGAAGATTAAAAAGCTTGAAAGATGGGTATCTCACGAATTGACTGAAGCAAACCGGCAAACGCGCGTCGACTGCTGCGTTACATTACTGAACCGGCACAATAATGAAGGTATTTTAAACCGAATCATTACCTGTCATGAAAAATGGATTCTTTACGATAATCGGAAGCGCTCAGCGCAATGGTTGGATCCTGGCCAGCCAGCCAAATCCTGCCCCAAGCGAAAATTAACCCCAAAAAAAGTTACTTGTAAGCGTTTGGTGGACTAGTGCCGGTATTGTTCATTGCAGTTTTCTCAAATCTGGCCAGACTATTACGGCTGATGTCTATTGTCAGCAATTGCAAACCATGATGGAAAAGCTAGCGGCTAAACAACCTAGGCTGGTCAATCGCTCCACGCCACTGCTACTTCACGACAACGCTAGACCACACACAGCACAACAGACGGCTACCAAATTAGAAGAGCTTCAATTGGAATGTCTAAGACATCCTCCGTACTCCCCGGACCTTGCTCCAACAGATTACCATTTTTTTCGAAATTTGGACAACTTCTTGCAAGGGAAAAAATTTAACTCTGATGGGGCAGTCCAAATCGCCTTCACAGATTTTATTGATTCCCGTCCGACTGGTTTTTTTAGTAAAGGGATCAATTAACTATCTATGAGATGGCAAAAGTGCATAGAAAACAATAGTTCATACTTTGATTAATTAAATATATTATATTTAAAAATATTCGACTTTTTGTTCCTCCCATACAAAACGCCAATTTCATATGTAAGGACCTAATATCAGTCAGTGTCTCAGTGATAATGTAGCAAGTGAAAAAAAATTTAAAATCGGTCTAGTACTTTTTAAGCCAATTCGTTACAAATATACTTACATATAGATATTTCCTCTTTATAATATTAGTATAAATTGAAGGATTCGTATACTTCTGTTATGTTTAAATTTTTCAATTTTAAATATAAAAAGCAATATATCTTATTGATTAAATTTGTGAATGTCGAAATATTGATGACAGACACAAAGTGTTCCACGAACAAAAGATCAAAAGTTAGACTTTTTAGAAAAAAAACTTGGTTTATTTTAATACGCTTCATATCTGTTATAGTTATTTTTTACATCTTTAATTATTGATTAGCAAGAATGGAATGAAGCATAGTCATATATCTCTTGTCTGAGCGAGATTAAAGGGGCGATGCCGATGTCATCCATCTCTGTAAAACGCTGTTTCGACGCTAGGGCCGCACTATTCACGCCTATAATGCCGTGTCCATATACACAATAAAGCGAAAACATTTTTATATTTGTGTCACAGTCAGGTGACTGTCACTGCTTTATTATACAACGTGGACTAAATATGTTTCTACCACGTCACCATGGTACCACACATGGCACTATCTTCCAGCTTTTTAGTAGGCCGTCCGAATTAAAGTCCCCCACAACCCCACAAAATAAATCCTTAATAACTTTTATTAAAGAAAAATTAAATATATAATTAACCACACACAATAGTTCTGTAACACCGATCAGTAATGTCTTATAAATAAAATAACTTGTTTTTATTTCCTAGTTGTATGTGCACTCGTACCACAGCTTCGGGAGATCTGATTACAGCTTCTGATTGTCTGTGAGGGCCAAACCAAATGGTCAACTCTTACACATGTCGGGTACGGGAAAATTTCTCTAGTGGTTCTACTGCCGTAGAAAAGACTCTATTTAGGTAAGAGGGTAATTGTGAGTAAATCGTATCGTTGTCTTAGAGACCCCTTAGAGAATTTTAAGAGAATTTTTATATCATTCTTCTGTCACAGCATATAAATGTGGTTATGCGGTGCGTGTCCGATTATAAAAAAAACCATTTAAACAATCGCATGTTTTATTTTCTCACGTTATAAATAACATTTGTACGATTCAGTCAAAATACACTACACACTTGCTGCCATCAAAAATATTTCTTACAACTAAAAGTCTTTGTTTTAACACCACGGGTCTGACACTATGTAGGAGGTTGTTGGATAGTATGATCTGAAACAAAAAATATTATAAAACAACTGTAAAATGTCTATGCATATTTAAGCAAATAGAATGGTCAAAAAGTATTAAAAAGTTTTCTTATCACGAATAATATTTTTTTAGAAATCAAATATTCAAAATAATTTACCTCTTGTTTACCTTATCTAAAAACTTGTAAAACCAGATTAGTTTGTATTTCAAATTATTAAATTATTATACTTTAAGAGTGTTTTTATAGTTCTAAATAAAAACTTTTATTAGATAAGGTAAAGCTTATTTTTAAAAGAAGATGCCATAAATGTTCAACTTTATTATTAGCGGTATTCTTACTTATTAATTTATGTTAATAATAGTATTTTAAATAAAAAAGGTTTGCATATCTTTAATTCATTTGTTTATATTATGTAACGATTTCGAAATTTATTTCAATATATATTAATTAACTTTAGTCTAACTGTATAGAAACATAAATTATATGTACCTGTAACCTCCGTCATAAACGTGTCCGTAGCTTGGAGCATATCCTCCGTATCCATATCCGCCTCCGTATCCATGACCATACCCTCCATAACCACTGTAGCCTCCGTAACCACTGTACCCTCCATGTCCCCCATAACCACTGTACCCTCCATGGCCCCCGTAACCACTGTAGCCTCCATATCCTCCGTAGCCTCCGTAACTCCTGCCACGGAGAGCGGATGCAGCGATGGCTCCTCCCACCAAACCAGCCTTAGCTCCAATCACACCAGCTCCCAGACCTACAGCACCGGCTGCCAAACCTGCTCCAAGAAGACCAGCCCCGGCTCCTATAAGTTCCATAATACATTAGATATACATCCTTCTTTAATATTATAGTATTCTATGTTAAATTTGCTAATAATTATAACACCAAAGTTTGAATCTAATTAAAAAGGTGAAACAAATAATATATTGCGAAGAAGATGACGATTTTCAGTTTTTTAACTATATCTACTCTTTAACTGTAAGTTAATTGAGCCACAAAAAAATTAAAGAGTAACAAGCAGACAATGATAGTTAATATAAAATCATACGTCAGCGTATGAACTTTTCTTATATCAGAGAAAGAGGCATACCCAATAAGGCGACATGTCTTTTCGGCCTTTGGACAGGCCGTAGAGCAGTCATCAAGGGTCCATTTTCAACAGCTAGGGAAACTGCGCACGCCCCCAGCACAAAGAAAGCCACCAAGTACAATCTCATTTTTATTCTGAAAATATATTAATATTACGATTTAATTTTACACCATAACCGTGTCAAAAAAAATTATTATATTTTTTATGTCAAGACAATAGATAAAAAAAATTGGATATAGAAATTTAATAACCTAAATAAGTATGCAATAATTAAGAACACATTACACAGTCCCTTTAAAAATAAGATATGAAACTTCTTTTATCTAATTAAATAATTTTATTTTAAAAATATCCAAAAACGCACCTTAATTTTTGTTACTATAGTTACAAGCGACCACTTAAAAGTATACTGTCCGCCGCGATCCTGGCACTGTCTTTTATAGGACGAACGGACACATGGCAAGAAAATATGTCAGTGATCCATACTAAATTCGCCACACCTTAAATACCTATAACCTTCGACTGTGCCTAAGGTATTATTGTAGGGTTTTGTTTAGTGTTAAATATTAAATGTAGGGTTTTGTTTAATGATTAATATTTTTGTAAGATTTTTTATAATAATAGTATTTGCAATGAATTTTAAGTTTATATTTCAGTGATATCTAAGACAGGATACAAACTTATAATTATATTTTTCGTGTCCAGTTAATTGTAAACTAAAAGTTGTACATAGTTCGCATAATTCATATAAACTTATACATAAGTTTAGAAAATATGCCTACGAGAATGTAACCATGATTAGCTTATTAACACTGTTATGTTAATTAATGGTGATTCGACAAATATTTCCATGGTAACATCTTAAGTCCAGCTTCTTATAGCCAGTTGTGTTAATTTTTCCAACTCTATAACTTTAAATCTGATTCTGTTTCAATTAATAAGATATTCCTAACCCACATAGTACATAAAAAGGGATGAATAGAAAACTAAAATAAATTTATAAAGTTTAGTCCCTGTTACCTTTAATGCTGGCAGCATTACGGTACTTATTCGTTGAGCGAGGAAAGCATCAGCTTTGGGAATTGAAGGAAAGACATATTTTTGCCGTTTATTATTTTCCGCCTCCTTGCGACCTAATCATGTAATAGATCTGAATAATTCCATAGAGGGTAGCGACGAAGTACATAAGTGTAGTTCGTTATCGAAGTAATTAATTTTACAATGAACTGTGCTGAGTGCTGAGTGGGCGGTAATAAGCAGAAGACCCCCGTCTTTTCTCTTCCCCGAGGAAGATTTTTAATTTTTGATATTGATGTATTAATGTATTCTTCTACTAAGGTCTCTTTTTAAAATCGGTACAGCGATGTTTTATTAATTATTTAATTTATTAGGGGATTATATATAATAAGTACCATTTTGCCATCTGTTTGCAAATTCTCACCCTGATATATCCCACGTTTATCCAAATGTAATGTTAAATCTATTGAATTAAAATATGATATAATCTTAAAATGACCTTAAAGTACAACATCTACCTAACCTCCTAGAGTATCATCATCAAGATACCTGACGATATAACTTGTGTTTAAATTTTGAATACAAGAATTTGTGGCGAGACTTAAAATATCCGGCCCAAGAGGATCTCCTTGTTGGCAACCGACTCCTGAAGAGAGTTCGTAACTTTGTATGTCAATTTTGATCACTTACTCCATCACTCACTACTTAATTATAAAGTTTCTATGGAGGCCTCACAACCGCTTTTAGTGCCAAAGCCAAGTAGTGCTGGATTAATTTTGTTCACTTTATTTATTATAAGTTTTACTGCAATTTTGTAGGTTAATCTGCAAAAAGTACTTCCCACAGCAATTAGTGTCATTCCACCATCTTTTTTTGTGTATACCACCAAGTTTCTCCCGTATAATTCAACCCAGTTTGACATCGATCTTTTGTATTCTTCCATTGACTCGGTGAGACGCACACTCACATCCAGCTATTTCCATTAGAATAGTTATAAATTTTAATCTTCTGCTTTTTCATACTTAATTTTTTATTTACTAAATTTCTGTAATTGTTTCATAGTTTTATAAATTTATAAATTTTAATTTTATTCTTCCTATCTGCTTAAGGTATTTATGGATTATCTATAGGTTGAGATTTGTAATTAGTACTGATTTTATTTTATTGTAATCATAATTTACCTTCTGTTAAAATACTATAAATCTTCCTAAAATGCAATAAATAAATAAAATAGGGATAGATTTTTTTATTCTTCCAAAAGACGAGAGACCTGTTTCTCCAGCACTGTGTAATGTTAAATCTTTTAGATGTTGGGTTGTTAGCGCCATCTGATGCACCTGGTTAGAAGTATCTATGGGTTTTCGAATTAATAACATCATATTTAATTTTTATCGCTAAGACAGATATTGCCAAAATATATTAAGTTAAAAAGGCGAAAACAAAAGCAGTTTGTTACACAAACACTATATACGAGTTAGATCATAGCAAGCATGTAAAAAATTAAATTAATTAAATGAACACACACATTTAATATCTTTTCGCAATAATTAAAATAAAAAATCAAATACTTGAACTGACATACCGTTGCATTTAATAATCATAATTTGTTTTTATTTTTCATTAGACATAGAAAGTAAAAGATAGTTAAGTTTGAAGTAAAATAAAAGATTGCTTAAACGGTTTGATATTTAAACAGCAATAATAAGTAAAAGACATTGTTAACCACGTTCTGTACTTCACATTTTAATAAAGATATTTTCATATTAAAGATAATAAGCAGATTAAGGCTAGTTAGTAGAGAAAATGATATAATTATACGACCTTCGCCAATTACTGGCATCTGGTAATAACAATATGGAATAATGACTAGGAAGTCTTGAGCAAGTCTGCATTCCTTAAAAGATGCGTCAAGTATGAGTTTTTGCACTTTTATTTACGTACTAAAAATTTATATTGGATCCTGAATGGCCAATAATAACTACTTACTAGCTGACGGAATAACAAGATTGCCTTTGGGTACTTTAACTAAGAATAAATATATATTTTAACAAGAAAATACATTCGTAGAGTTGTAGAGAAAAACTGCGTTACAATCATGACGCGTCAACAGTAAATTACCTTATTTTTAATGAAATAGAAATACTCATTTAAAGGGGTGAACTAATCTCACGATTAAATGGTAACCGAGCACCATACAAACGTAGTCCAAATCACGTCTACAAAGTAGGTATATTTCATTTTATATGTTCTATAATGTGTGTATGATTAGTTATGTCATAGTTCTCGATCTGATAAATACAAAATAATCGATATCATATGTCAAAGCTAACTTATTAATGTTTACACAAAACAAAAAAAATATATATGTCAGCAAAAAACAATGGAGGTCATATATCGAAAATTTGTCGATAAAGCTTCTTGCAATTGACATTGAATACAAAAACCTGATATATTGAACTTACGCAATAGTATACGTAATAATTTGTATATAGATAAAATACACATTTAAGTTTTCTTTGCTATAAAATAATAATAACATAATCGAAATACATTCTTTATAACACTCTACAACACTCCAAATTACTTCGTCGTCGTCAATACTTATTATTCATAGACGTCGACTGCAGCGAAAAACTTAATGAAAGTTTCAATTTCAATGCGAAAACAATTACGTTTTCCGACACTTTTTCCGTGTTTTATACGGATTATAAAGCAGTATAAAACAATACCTCAATGTTCATGGCGGAACCATATACGTTTTAATTGGTTTTGGATCCCAAAAACGTCTTCAAATTAAAATGGGCTCTTTAGTATAAAACCACATTTATGAATATTGTACGTATATAACCTCAAGAAAACAATCTGCTTTTTTATAGACAAATTATTTCAATTTTATTTCATAATCAATAAGATTAAAAGGTTCACGACATATAAGAGGACTTAAGTCTAGAATTTTCTAAGTCATCACATCTGTGTTCCTTAGAGACGTAAATGTTAGGTATATAAAAAACCACAGATATATTGATATTTATAACGTCGTCAAGATATTTCACACTTCGTTAGCAATTGGTTTGGTCAAGTTCAGCTTATCTCCGAGTGAATGACCTGTCACGGCAACAAGGTTCAGAGCCAACTCGATTTGTACAAGGCTTTCGCGCGCATCCATAATGCAGGTGTGTTCAGTCAAAGGCAATTAATAATCAATTTGAATGAAGTCACCCATGGGCAGAAGAATAATTGCATAAGTTTAAAATTATGACAGCTATGTATAATTATGCTCGACACACTTCTTCTTTTTGCATGTTTTGCTTCACCATACAAGTTTTAATTCATAAAATCCATAGATACAGCCGGGATTCGAACGCTCGACCTCACACCACTAACACTGACCATCGACAGTGTAACATATATATTATAATAAAATTCGTTCCATTGGTGTTTCAAATAAAAAGTTTAATTGATGCTGATACGTGCAGCAGATATTTTTCACAAGGCTTTTTCCATTAATATGTAAATTTTTATTATCGCTGTATTATTTGATTAGTATAACCAAGAGTTGGAGAAGAAACAAATTCGTCATACCGGTATATTATGTAAACTGAAAGAAATAAGTTAAGTTTTAGTTTAATATCATGTTAATTATAACAGATTTGGGTTTATAACATACATTACCGGTAGAGAATAATTAGTAACTATTAGAAATATATAAAATACCAACTTCTATTGCATTAAGCAACATCTTTTTTTATTCAGATAATTCTACTACGTTGATATGAAATTTAAATTTAAAATATACCAGGTATAAACTCATTAATAGAAGTTTGAAGATGATCTCATGTTAAGAACTCGTTACATGAAATTTTTACATATCTTGTTTTAACGGTATTAATATTTTATATGTATTTACCATAATCTACATATTTGTTAAGTTGGAAAAATAATCTTTTTTTTTCCATTTATTGGCCTGCGCGGTTCGTGCGTCAGCCATAAACACGTCTTTATAGTTCAGATATTTTTTTTAAAATCCCAAATAAGTATTTACTTACATTGCACTAAAATCGGTGTCAGTCAAAGAACGATGACTATTGTCACCCTGACAGGACAATTGAGAAATGAGAAGGATGACAGTTGTCAACCTTTGACTGACACCGATTAAGCGCAAACAGTTACTAAATACTTATTGATAATTTAGATGAACTAAATCTACGGTGTTAGTTATCCTATAAATCAACGTCAAGCCAACTGGTGAAGGGTGATGGTATATTTATATATATTTATGCATCCTGTGACGTTCTTTTTATTACTATCGCTACAAATTTTAACTTTTCAAAAAAACGCTTTTTTGTTGACGTGACCCTTCCGTATACGACAGATAAAAATTCATATTTCAATGGCCTAATTTTTAAATAGAATAAAAAAGTAAAAAAAAAGACAAAGTCGAACCTTGTACTCAAATTGATTATTACAACTATCCGAACGAAAAATGAATGATGACATGAAAAGATGGCATTAGTCTGAATTCCTAAGTGGTATAATGTATATTATGGGACACCTTGTACAATAAAATAATCTATTGAAGAGTCTCCAAATTTTTTTTTCCAAAGCATTCCTTGTGTAGTTGTGTCTTTAAAATGAGCCTATAAAATAGGATGCTATTTAAAGGTGGAATACATGATCCATCACTCTGTATAAGGAAGAAGTACGGTGTTATGTCAGTAATATAAACATGATAGGTTGGAGTTTTAAAAAAAGGCAATATATTTTTTCAATAAAATATACACATTTATAAAAAAACATTTATTAACAAACAGCACTCTAACACTTAACTCGAGTCTCCATTTGTTATAAATATTATAACAAATCATAGGCAATACTCTAGAAACATCCATATTTGTAGAACAGTATTATACAATATACGAAGAAAATTCATGAAAGAAATCGACAAACAATAGCTATAACATGAAACTTCCAATTTATTGTATAATAATTGTTCCTGATTTTATATATGGCAGCATTTATTACATAAGCTCTTTATGGTTTCACAACCAGTACTAATCTAAGTTCTAACTAAAATACCCCTTGGTTTGAGCTCTTAAATAACATTTCTGGATAGTCACGCGAAGTCTTCATTTTCTGTAGTACTCAATGTACTATATAAGAAAACTGGAAACGCGGTTAGCCCGACCAACTGTAAAAAAATACCTATTAAATTACACTTGACAAACAATGACATAAAAATTGTTTTGGATCCGCATTCCTCATTAAAAATTTCATACTGGTTTTCCCAAATATATAACTTGAAATGGGTAGAATTATAATCTATTTATTATTCATGGCCCAATGATCTCAGATTAAGCAACCAGTCAACGATCGTCATCTTTTTTTCCCCCGTGAGGCTCTAACACAATTAGTGCTTGCTAAATTAGTCAATCAATAGTCATATTTGCACAGTTCTGTCCAAAGATTAAACTCGCGTGTTTATATTTCGTTCTATTTGCTCGTGTGATTGCGTAGCTGTGCATGACGGATCATTTCCCTGTATGTTAATACATGATTGTTACATACATCAGTTATGAAAAATAAATTCCTAATAGAATTTAATTATTTCTATTAGGAAATTAAGTAGTTTTGACGTTACTAGTAAATATAAAATTAATGCCTACAAAAAAATAACATACACATATACTTCTATCAATAGGCTACTGTGGTAGTGATTATTAATACTATACGTGATTCTATTGCATGTCCAGAATAAATAAAATGCAGTAACTGTGATGAAGCTTTTCATGTCACGGTCAAAACAACGTTTTTCAACTTAAACTTACATATACAACTAAAATATTAAATTATTTATAAAATTTGTCATTCGTTTAAAGGCGAAGTCATTAAAAATTTTCTAAAGAATAAAAAGACTACGTTTCGTCTTTTAATCTTTACTCTTACTATCTACGTTTTCGTTTATATGTATGAAATTAAATGTTAGCTTGCATTTAAGGTATTATTAGTAGTTAATCTCACGTAAGTGAATTTTATACTTAATTAGAAATAAATTACTTAAACCGTTAGGAATGATAATGGCTGAGTTTAGTTTAGGGGATAATAATATTGAAGCTGATGTTAGAACTTACCTATGAACTTCAACGACTGATGGAGAGTGGCTGCAATGCGGACAAACCAATTTGAAATAAAGCATATAAAAATATAATATAAAGCTATAATAGTACGTAAATAATATATAAAACGATGGCCCGTCAGCTACGCGTTTAATAAATGCCTCCATTAGGTGAATGAACGTATTTAATTTATTAGATTTAAATAATAGGAAAATCCAAATACGGTGTTTATGACACATTCATTAATTATAAAACAACTGCGACTTGCGGTTTTTTATATATTCAAACAGCCTACGGCATTCATTCACGTACCCTACGGTCAAATAAAAATTAAATATAAAGCATAAAATTATTAAAATATTGTTATACATCTTTTTTTATATAATATTATATATTTTTAATAAGAATTATAATTTAATGGGAATGATATGTTAATGGTTAGTACCCGTGATAATATTGACGTTGTGAGTGTACTGACTGCTTTTTAAGTGCGATGGCACCAGCTACTCCAGCACCTACAGCGCCCACCTTCGCTGCTTTTAGTCCAAGGGCTCCTGTAATAAACGAAATAACATTATTTTTCTAAAAATATTGCTGACACTGGATCATATCAGCCGATCACTTACTGCCAAACATAACATACAAAATGTTTAAGAAGTTTGAGAGTGTGCTAGATCACGCTATTTTTTAATTACCTATAAGCCGACAACTACCGAGCAGTTCAAAAGCTTAATTTATGTAAGTTTCAAAAATCCACTTTACTATGTAAATATAATCGTCCTATAGATTGATCGCACCTATTAAAATAAAAATATTCTATTTAAATAAATCTTTAGATATCATTGAATATGTTTAGAATAAGATTGCATGAATCAAACTTTAAATTGAATGAATGTTGTCATTGAAAATCATAAGACACTACTTAAAATAGGTGAATAACACACATTATATTCACCTTCGAACTATTTGTTTAACATTTTATTTGCCTATAACCTTGACACCTGCCATATGAAAATAATAAGATTGCCTCGATCCATATAATTTTACCGATTTGTAGGCTTTTCGTTGCTTACCTTGAACGTAGACATTTTATTAACATAATTCAAAATACCTTCAGAAAATGTCATGATCGTGTTTTAATTTTCTTTAAAATATTTTTACGACACAGATGCCTACTGCAGTGTGTAAGTTTTTTGTACAAATTATTAGATATATGTGATCAGCGCACTCAAACGCGACGTAAGTAGTATAAGAACATCGAGATATAATCCAGTTATATATCGACACGGTGAAATAATATTATTTTTGCAATCTTTTAAAATAATAATATAATGCTATACCAAGTAGGAGTTTCTTCTTTAAAAGAAGTAAACCTCGCTTCGTTCTTGGACTGTTTTCGTGAACTGGTGTGTCGTTGATTGATTCATAGACTTGGCCTTCCTGTAAGTTAGCGGAATCTTCGATGGGGTACTGGTATTGTGTGTTCGCTGCTACTACTGCCACTAGGCAAGCCAGAACAATCATTGTGGTGGGCTGCATTTTCCTGGTTTCTCTGCAAGCAAAAACGGCGTTACTGATTAGTTAAATCAACCATTTAACCGAAAGCTATATCTCAAACTAACACGTAATAAAATACATCAAAACAAAGAGTTTTAAAACTATTGTATTGTAATACGATAGAAAATACGTGTGATTCTCATTGTTATAACACTTCTGTGATTAATCATTTGCATTTAAAATACATTACACTAAACGTTTGCGATTGACCCTAATTAACATAATATTAACCAAGGACATTACGTAAGCTATTCTTTTAATCGTAACGTACATCAAGATCCTAGTGTAACACATGTGAAGAACATAAAGTTAGCAAGCACGAACAACCTCTGGCTTATTGTAATGTACACATACGTTGTTTGTCATCGCTTAACCTCTACTTTGACACTAATTTCGTAACTGATATGGATAGTCGATCTTCGCAACTCACGTCTATAGTTTAAGCTATTGGAAATTAAAACAAAATCTGATCTTTGTCGATGCCGGAATCATGCTTCTGTACTGGATCTTCTGTGTCTTCATGTACTGGTTTTATAAGAAAAACTGTAAGTCTAATGTAGAAATGTATCTGCCCCTTACTCCACAGAGATATCATCTTATTAAGCATATTATAAATTTTACCTATATATTAATTTAAGTATAGAAAATATTGTATGGCCGATGTACATGTTTGTATTATGAAAACCGTTTATGTAATTACTCGAAAAATTTCGCCCCAATAATAAATGCAACTTCTACAAGCTTTGAAAAACATGTCAAGCGGCATAATAATTTATTTAACCGGTTGTGTGGGAAAATTTCAAATAAAGTTACGGTATTTTTAAACCTACGATAGCAATCGATCGGGATTCTTTTTTGTACGAATGCAGGTGGAAATAGAACATTTTTCGGTAAGAAATTTCAGTAAAAAGAGAATTTACGTTGCAAGGAAGCATTCCGACGGAAATTGAGACATTTCTATTTGGTTTTCGTTCACCATCTCGACCATGAAAGTTGCTATACAATTGCTTTGCTACGTGTATACAATAAAACCTACTACAAAATTGTAATATTTACTTTATACCTTTATAAAAAATCTTTTAACTTATAAGTACAAACTATAAATGGGTAGGTATATTTTTTAGTTACCGGTATCTTACTTATTAGGGTTTTAATAGTCAATATCATAATTGCATATTCAACTATTACCTTAGTGGTATGTAGGCACAACACAACACTTCTACAAGCACTAACACACAGATGACAACGGTGTAGTAAAGAATTCTTTTATAGACTGCATAGCGCAGTGGTAGGGTTGATGTTACACGTAATAGGGTTCAAGGAATTCAACACGATTTAATCGACTCATCAAAAAATACGTATTTAACCTTCAGTTCCTCAATGCAACTAAATATTTGCTTTCTTTGGATATGTTATGGCTTCCCATGTCTAGAAATGGACTTCCGAATTCTTTGTAATGTTTAATTCACTTTTGCAACTATTTTAAACTGTAACGCTAAAGTTATATACGTCACCGGATTACATTGTGTTTTATCAAATTATTTATACTAAAATTACAATTTCTCGACAACGCAATTTCAATTTTGTAAGTAAATTTCACTTAAAAAAATCTTTAACAATTGTATTTAGGTAAGTTATTAATCATTAAAGAGAATGCGGTTTAACTATTTAAATTATAAAAGTTACATGTTAATCTTATAATCCTAATCCTAGCATGTATTTTATTGCTGTTTTTATAAAATTAAAAAGTAAGTTACTGTGATTTCTGATCACGCAATTAACACACTTAATACTTACTTTAAGAACATCAGAATATGTAAAATTTTGTAGCATTTGTAAGATTATTTAATTTTACAGTAAAAATCGATACGCCATAGGATAGTGAGATATAATCTTGACCGATTTTCCAATACATATATATCTATACCGAACAAAGGTACTCATCGTACACTCCGAATATCCAATAACCAATTTCGAAACTAAAGGCTAAAGGCGATTGACCAATATTAACTCATTAACTGCGTTCCTACATCTAACGGATAACGATTCGTAGCAGTTATAGAACTTTGCCTCCTTCTTATGAAACACTTGTGTTTTTTTATTAAACTAGTTTTTTTTTACCTGTGAAATATTTGTAAGGTCTTTTAAATATTTGCACTAAAATGTGATTCTTAGTAAATAACTTGGGCAGACACATTTGTGCGTCTGTTTCGTAAAGTGTTATAATAATCCTAGTAGCTTATTATAACACTTCCTTATAATAATCATTCTTTCATTCCTTCAAAAAACATTATTTTGTAAGCATAGGAATGACTTTTCTTAACAATTTATTGCGCGAACTTCGTTTCTCCTTTATATGATTTGTTTACTTTTCGAACATATTGCTATGCTAACACATAGACTGTTCGCAAATACTAACTGACTGTCTGTTCCGGAATAAAAACCTAAGTACTAAATAAACTAAACTAACCTTTTTAATTTTTTATATTCTTCCAATTTCCTCATAGTTCAAGGAATTAATTTTAAACAAATATTACTCGAATTGGTCAAGCCGTCTTCGAGTTTTGCGATTCATTTTTATTTAAAAACATTTAAGTACAAAAATATACAACTATTATGTAATATGGTACTAAATTATCATCGAAAAGTTTTAACAAAAGCAGCAACGATATTTACCGTTTTTTAAATATAAATATTTGCTGTAAATCGAAGCCGTAAGCCGGAGTAATATTCACAGTTAATAATTAAATTAATGCATGCAAGCTGCATTTAATATTCGGTGAGTATGTGTATTTCGATGCATGTAAATGAGTGACGTCTAAAGCAAATATTCGAAATACAGCTTGTAGGAATACCTTGCTAAATAGGACTTACTGTCGAGTTCCATGTAAATATTCCACGTATCTACGAATACTTTACTCAATAGGAATAAGTATAGAATGAATAAGTACACTCAAAATATTGTATTCACTTCTTTTAAAGTAGTTTCCGTGTACGTAACAGAAATATATATGTCATTCCCGGATATGAAAGTAGAATTCAAATTCAGAATATGGACTATAGTAGTAATACTATAGTCCGTATTCTAACATATACCTAGTCTTTCTCTAGTCCAAATTTTAGCCACCGTTGTGATAAACATTTATATTTATCGTTTTACGTTTTGACCTTTTGCATTTATAATATTGTAATGGATGTCGCTTATTTGTAAAGATCAGAGATAATTTAAGATCTGATATAAGTAAAACAAAAAAGTCCTTGGTCACAAATCTTAAAGATTTTCTTTTTATTTTATTTGAAATTGGAATCCTTCCCATTGGGTCAGTTTTATGTATTTAAAACATAACTGGAAAAATTGTAAGAAGGTATTTGATCGTCGTTTTACTTCTTTCGTACATCAATTTATTGTTGGAAGAAGCATTAAATTACACAACGGCTCATCGATAACTTGAATGAATAAATAACCGAATGGTACCTGCTTTTCAGTTCGTGTTTGGTTCATGTAATTTCTAATTACGTCAAATTGCGTGGTTAATGTGACATAAGGTTGTTACAGTTTGCGCTTTAACAAACACCGCTCGTGCGTTGTGCTTGGAATGTAAATAAAGCACGAAACGATACGCTTCCCATACACAAATTGCGATTTCTAATTTTTCCCACATATTTTACTACAATGCTGTATATCTTCACTAGTTTTGGACAGATGAGAGGTGTAATGTTTTTGTGTGTGCCACAATGCAGGTGCGAGTAATATAGACTAAACTATATTTTTCCGAATACTTGAAGTAAATTGAAGATATGGAACTCGTCGACTTAAATTTTAAATAAAATATAAAACGCTCGCACATAAATCACGATCCGGTGACAATCATTGTTTAAAACCGAGGTCTCAGGGTCTACAATAATTTTTAAATACAATATTTAAAAAATATTGTACTTCTATAAGTTTTTGAGAGATATGCGAATATTATAACCATACAAATAAAATAAAAAAATGTATCAACATATCAATGGAACGTAAAACAATGCCATCTATCGAGGTTTTTGTATGACCACGTTCTACTAGAATTAAACTGCCCCACTGTGTTGCTTCTTTTATTACAGATGTCGCAGTACACATTTCATTGGTTTCAATAATAATTAACAGATGGCGGTAAAAATAATATTATTTTATTCCAGATAGCAATCAATAGATGTCACTAGACAGTATAATAAAAATAGATGGTACAGCAAAGAAGTAATTGTAGCATTTATCATTTCCAATTCTTTTACTACAGTGCATTATAGACAGCACGGTTTAGACTTTAGTTATTCAAAATGAATGCCTAATATTCTACAACGATGGTAGTGAGCGATGAGTGATGATTTGCGATTTGTAGGTTCGATGTCCATGCGTATTTTCCAAATTCCTGTATCGTGATTGGTCTAAGGTCTGATGCTAGTTCAATATTCATCGTTCATACTTCACAGCTGTGATCCGTCATCAGTCATCATCTGTGGTTCAACGTTGAATTTCGTTCATGTGTTTAGTGATTGTGTTGTGAAATTTCGATGGATTTCTCCGTGTAATTTTTAATAATCACTTTGGATTTTCGTTTGGTTTTAATCACAATTAAAATAAAAAGGTAAGTGGTATGGAAATTTCATTGTTTACACAAATACTACAGTGACATTATGTCCACATAAATTCAGTCCATTTCACAATAGAAAATATTTTGTTTTAAAAGCGCTTACAACAGAATACATAGAATGTGAGTAAATCATTTTTATATTGAATTTTCAAATCTACAGAAACATTCAAAGGCTTATGGTGATCTAGTAAAGTTGATGTTTTCTAAGTTACAATCCAAAATCGATTGTATTTATGGTAAAAAAAATTGATTCTTGATCTTGATTATTCAATGTACCTTTAAACTTTGTTTACTTTCTAAAAACAAAAATGTATGTCTGGCCTTGTAGAGACAATATGTTACACTCGATAT